TTCTTTCTTATGGTTTTCCCCTTTTGTTCTTATTCTTCTTATACAACGTAACTAATATGGAAATATGTTTAATATGATTGTACATACATCACCTATATCAGTTTGCTTGCTATCTTGGGGATGGGGGAGGAAAGGAGGGAGAAAAATTTGGAACCCAAAATGTTACAAAAATGAATGATGAAGAGATATGAGTGAGGGGCTGCATAGAATTTTCCAACTTCCTGCAAGAGTAGCCAAATTTATAAAAACACAAATAACCTAGATCACCAAGGGGGGAGATTCTGGCAAAATTATGTGACAGTATGGGAGCAGAACATAGGCATAACCTCTCTTCTGGCAGAATACTGTCTTTCTCATGCCTAGGTACTTTGAAGGCTATTTGAAAGGATTTTTCTATTTCAGGTGCTTTTCCACAGGTAAGTCATTTAGTGAGCCAGGCATGGAACAAAGAAGGCCTGACTCTAATCTCCTGGAGCCTCAGGCCACTGTTGTCTCTCTGCAGGAAACATAACTTTGAGATAATTACTGGAGAACATGTCATAAAAGTGTCAATGCTCCTCTTGTAGTTGGGTCAATAAGTGTAGAAACTTCTTTGATGCTTTCAGGACTCTCTGTTCTTCCTGCCCAGAAGACCTTCACCTTCTTCCTTTATCCATGTTCTGATCTTTCTTCAAATTCTACCTATGAAGCCTAATCAGTTTACTCCTTCTCACTCTGCTCTCTCTTGGACCAGCATTGGAAAGGGAACAACTAATATTCAGGAAAGCTAGGTCTATGCCTGGCTCTGCCACTGAGCTATGCAAGCTTGGGCAAGTCACTTAAATGAGACAAATCTGGGACCTTCCTCCCTAGGCAAAGAGAAGTTTTACAATGGGAATTATATCAAACAAAGGTAATAGATAAGCATCATATATTATTTTTTTTAAGAATTGCATGTTTTTAGGGAAGCTCACTGTTTCAAAAGATTCTTTTTTTCCTTTTTTCTTTTTTTTAAATTTTATTAATTATATTTTGATTTATCAACAATCACTTCCATATGCTTTTGAGTTGAAAATTTTTCTCCCCCTTCTTCCCCCCCACTCTACCCAAGATGGCGCACAATTTGATATAGGCTTTACATTTACATACCCATTAAACATATTTTCACGTTAGTGAAGTTGTAAGTAAAAATTAAAGCCAATAGGAGGAACCATCAGAAAGATGAAACAAAACTCAACAGACGGTAAAAATAAATGATAGCAATTCAACTTCCATAGTTCTTTCTTTGGATGTGGACAGCATTTTCCATCCCGAGGCCTCTGAAAAGGTCTTAGATCCTTGTAATGCTGAGAAGGCTTCAGTTTAACAATCTTAGTCATTGCATAACGTGGCTGTTATTGTGTACAAAGTCCTCTTGGTTCTGCTCACTTCACTCAGCATCAGACCATATAAGTCTTTCCAGGTTTTTCTGAAGTCAGCCTGTTCATCATTTCTTATAGAACAGTAGTATTCCATTACATTCATATACCACAACTTGCTCAGCCATTCCCCAATTGATGGGCATCCTCTCAATTTCCAATTCTTTGCCACCACAAAAAGAGCTGCTATGACTATTTTTGCACATGTGGGTCCTTTTCCCATTTGTTTGATCTCTTTGGGATATAGCCCTAGAAGTGCTATTGCTGGATCAAAGGGTATGCACATTTTTGTAGCCCTTTGGGCATAGTTCCAAATTGTTCTCCAAAATGGTTGGATCATTTCACAACTCCACCAACAATGCATTAGTGTTCCAATTTTCCCACATCCTCTCCAACATTTATTATTTTCCTGTTTTGTCATGTTGGCTAATCTGATAGGTGTGATGTGGTACCTCAGAGTTGTTTTGATTTGAATTTCTCTAATCAATAACGATTTACAGCATTTTTTCATATGACTATAGATGGCTTTAATTTCTTCATCTGAGAACTGTCTGTTCATATCCTTTGACCATTTAACAGTTGGGTAATGGCTTGTGTTCTTATAAATTCGTCTTAATTCTCTATATATTTTAGAAATGAGGCCTTTATCAGAGAGACTGTTTGTAAAAATTCAAAAGATTCTTAATGTGAGCTCAATGATGATGATGACGATGGTGACTGTGATGGTGACAATGATGATGCTGATGATATCGTGGCCACAGAAGGATTACAGATCTAGTGATCAATATGGATGCAAAGAAAGAGTGGACACATTAGTGCAACACATTTCTGCTTGCTACAAAAATTTAGTACCTTCTGACTATCCAGCAAGACATGATCTGATAACTACCAACATACAGCAAAAGCTCACCATCTTTCATGGGCCGATAGACAATTCCTATACTAGAAATACAGATCTTAATATATCATTGAGAACTCAACCTATAAATTGTCTTGAATTCAGAGCATTATTAAAGAATGAATTGTTGTTCACAATTGTCAGGATGTAACACTGGTCCATAAAATTTAAAAAAATATGGTTCCCCATTAGTGCCTCATAAGCTTCAAGCTATATGGAATTAAAAAGTTTTAAAATATAGAGAGATCTAGCAGAAGAAATCAAAATCATATTAGAATGGGGTGAATTTTATCTCTTCCCTACTATCCTGTCTGCTAGTAGAATTGTACTGCAGATGCTTTCAATTAGCCTGTGGTGAGCTTGCACCCAAATATTTTTTATTCATTTGTAGAAAGCATCTATTTTATGCACCTTTGTAACAATGTAGCAATTTGTAACATCTTTGTAACAAGAACATTAAATATAAATAAGCAGGATAGCAACTTGTTCCAGTAACATTTTTATCTGAACCCCTTTGGAAAAGATAAGAATGTGATAGTAATAATAATAACAGTTTATAGAGATGGAGGGGTTTATGAAGCCTATCAAATATCAAGTCAGTGCTACCAGAAATTGCACGAAGATTTTCATTAAGAAACCCTTACTTAGTGATCAGGGCAGATTTTAATAATGATATCTAGCATTTATATAGTGCTTTAAAGCTTGTGAAAGGCTTTATACGTGTTAACTTATTTGATTCTCACAACAATCCTGCCAGGTAGGTATCTTCATTTTGCAGATGATGAAACTGAGGCAGATAGAAGTGAAATGACCTTCCCAGGGTCACAAAACTAGTAAGCATCTGAGGCAGAATTTGATCTCAGGTCTTCTCGACTCCAGGCCCAGAGTTCTATCCACTATGCCACATAGTTGCACTGGAAACTATGAGATATATCACTGCAAGTTGTAAAAAATGTATCACTTACTGAATATCTAGGAAGACATGACCCTGGAGCAAGAGTGCACTGGAAACTTCTCAATCTGTCTCCATTATAAATTTTCAGGGTGAGTATTTACACCTCTGAAATCAAGCAAATGGTAGAAATCAGGGTTTGATTTATTCTTTTGTTGATTGTCTAGATTTAAGAAAGTGATGGAGAAAATGTTAATGCAAATTTCATTTAAAGGGTGTCTTTGACATACCTTCCCTTCACCCCAAACTCTGGAGTGCCAGTTATAAAACATTTATTAGTATACTCCTGCCAAGGAGCCAGAATTATATGACAAATTCCCGCACTGTCATTACTGACCTAAAAAAATACCCTCAACCAAGAAACCGTCCTGGAATAGGAGCATTCCCAATAAAACCATTGTCAACTTTTGCTTGGACATAACATTAATATTTAACAAATTAATAACAACATTCAAAATAGATCCATACCAAGTACTCATAATCTCTAAAGATATGGGGAATGAAAAACTTTCCAAATATAAAGACTAAGTAGAAATATTCATCATCTTATCTGCTTTTCCTGTTGTCCCAATTGCTGCTTGAAGTGAACCTACAAAAAATAAACTTGTATCCCCCAACTTTATTCAATGACAAAAAGCAGATTATTTTATCCACCGGTATGACAAACTGCAGGCACTTTAACATAAAAATGGTATCAGGATAGCAACTCATCCCAATGCAACATCTTTTTATCTAAACTCTGCTGAAAAGATGAGATCACAGTAACTGGCACTTGCTTACATAGTGCTTAAGGGTTTGCAAAGCTGTTTACACACGTCATGTCATTTTACTCACACAAAACAACAGCTTCGTAAGGTGGGTGCTATAGATATTGCCACCCCCATTTTATAGATGAGAAAGTTGAGTTAAGCAGTATGCACTACTTACTACGCACAGCTAGAAATTTTCTTTGTAAAGAAATTTGAGCCTAAATTTCCTCAGGGCTAGCTGAGACAAAAGGGAAAAGATGAAGAGATTCCTGTACTGTTGTTCCTATGTGTCCCTGCAAGGTGGGCTTGGAACGACTCCTGACCAGCTTGCTCATTGGGACATATACCAAGTGGCGAAGAAAACTGTACTAAATATTTCTATCATAGTGTCCAAGTTACTTGGCCATGACAACTGGAGGGGGTCCAGAGCTAGCAATCTAAACTAGTTAAGCCTTTGTTTCCTCCTCTGTAAAATGAGGGGTTGGAATTAGTGGATCCCTAAGGAATAAGGATCTATAAAGTATAACCATAACACTTTAGGATTCTTATTGTAAGATTGAACCTTTGGTGCTACTGGGCTGGTCTCCTCAGCTGGGATGCAAGTTCTTTAGTGGAAACTCATGTCTTAGATGTATGTATTTCTTACAACAACAGCATAGTGCTGGGCACCATAGGTGCTCGTGAAACATTCAGTGATGGATTAGCTGCTAACTCGGTCCTCTTATATCTCTGAGAGTGAGGGGCCCTTAGGAAAGGAGACAGGTGAGGTGGAGGTATGGGAGGGCAACCCAGAAGAGAACCAGTTAGAAAGAGCTAAGATTGGCTCTTTCTCTGCCTGCTCTCCTCCCCTACCCATAGCCTAAGGAGTTATAAATTCTGCATTCTGGAAAGTAGGTCTGCCTCAAGCATTGCTCTAGGATCTGCCTTGACCTGGATTCTTTCTGGTCATCTTTTCCACTGAGATCTCTACTGGCTTCCCTGCTAGGAACAAGCGGAGGCATAAAATGGACAAGCTGTTCCTCCTAGGCCTCTCTGTGCTCTACCTCTCAAGGGGTGAGTCCTGGGATGAGTTGTTGAGAGTGTTGCATTTCTCCCCCATTTCTCCCATAAGCCCAGGTCTGACCTATCAGGTACCATGTTTCATCTTTTTCCTCAGTCGTCTTCTTTTCTCTTGGCTCCTGTTCTTCTTCTCCTAGTTCTAAATAGGTCTAGATTCCTGCAAGTGACTGAGTCCAGCTGTACATTGGGGTATGACAGAAATGAGTGATCCAAAGGTGGTAATATAACATGTTCTGTATTATCTTCAAGATGGGGAGTCAACATTCGGTTTTCTGAAGGAATATGATCAAGTGGAAGGTGTCGCATGCCACGTCTGCAAAAGATTTGTCAATGGCCGTTGTTTGGAGAGTAAGGATAGCTGTGTGAAGGAAGTACCATCTGGATGTGAAACTAAAGTGTTTTACCTGATTGTCAATCATGGTAAGGAAGCCAGTGTATCAGCTCCTACTGGTACTCTGGTACTCCTGGGCCTGGATAGGGGAAGAGGGTCCCTTCCCTATATGAGTCCTGTGAGCCCTTTGCCCTGGGGAGGGAGGGTTGGTATTATTAGCCATAGGTCTTCACTCTTGCTTGTTGAGGTAAACTTGATTGAATTCAAGAAAGGGCGAAGAGAATCCTCAGAAAGCGTTTCCCTTCAGGAAGACACTTATTTCAGAACCATGGCTTTCAAGTGCAGGGCTCAGGTGTTGGATTTAAATTCCTCTCTTTTGTTTATGGTTTGGAGCTGAGGAATGTCTTCCAAGTTGGCTCCTTCTCCTTTCCCAGTGTGGCAGAGTACTTACGCCAGACTGAATTGCAACTCAGTATGCAAAGAGACTGAAGGTATAGACAATGGGATGCATTTTAAAATCTTTTGCTGTAACCAAGACTACTGCAACAAACCTCAATCTGGAGGCATATAATTGAGCAACAGAAAATTGGCTGTCACTTGGATGGTTTTGCTATCCCCACCTTCTTATCTCCTTCATTCTCCCACCTGCTCCCAGTCCTTGCACCTCCCCCATTAGGCTTATGATGGGCTCTGGGGAAAGAATATGCAGTCCTGTTTTGAATGGAGGAGAGACTACTTCTGATCCCTCCCCACTCAACTAACATTACATCATATGGACACCATGGGGCTCAGAGATCCAGGCCTGATATTTATCACTAAGCCTCTACTTCCTTTCTTTAATCAAGAAACAGATCCCTGAGCCCAGACCATGGGGTGAATCCAACCATGGCTCTAAAGAAGCCAGACTGTGAGTGAAGAATTTATCAATAAAAATTCAAAATAATTTCCCTACCTTGGTCCTAGTCTTCTTGGTTCTTGCAGCTTCTATTCATATCTATCATAGCAGACAAGCTAGTATGAGAGAAATGTGGAGGGGAATAAAGATCCAGAGCTGATATAGTTGGGGAGTAAAGTTTGTGCTCCTATCGGTGGGGCTGCACTGTTAGTCCTATCCTTTGTCTGTCATACCTTATCCTTACCTAGGCTCACCTGTGATTGGCCAGGGTTTTATGATCTCTGAGAAAGGTATACTAGAGAAAATTGGAAAGGATTCAGGAGTTACTGTCAAGAATGCACCTATCTCTTACTTTGTAATAATGTCATCACTTATCCAACCCTTTATTGAACACAGTACCTAAGACCTCAAGTGGATTTTAGTATTGTCCAATGTACAACACTTTGGACACAATCCTGCTCATGCTCTGGGTTTTAGGACTCTCTCTTTGCTATCTCTCTTTCCATTCCCCTGATTCAAGAGTTTGTTGAGGTAGTGTAGACAGATTAGGCTGGTACCATGGGCCTTTAAAGAAGTAACTAGATGGGAAGGGGGCCAGAACTCTGCTGCTCAAACACAAACCCTTTTGAATATTGCCCAAGAAAGTTTTGTCCTATGTTCTTTCATTAAGCAAACATGGATGGAGTCCTATTCTGGGAACATGGGTGTGACTTAAATTGAGATTCTTGCAAATATAAAGCCAGAGGCTAGATTGGATTGGTACCAGGATTTTTTTAAAGTGGGAAAACCAGTTCAGAAGTCAGGACATGAGCTATATCATTGAATCATGTCTGATTCAATCTATTTCCCCAATGTTTCAGTTTTATCGTCTCTGCTTGTGCTCCTCACATTTCCCTATGGTGGTGTTGGAGCCAGATTTGCCACACTTAATACTCACTAAATGGGGATCCCCCTGCCCCAGATTGTCTTCCTTGATATCAAGCCCAAAGTTTAAGGGATGCTATGAATTGAATACCTCAATAATTCTGAGGTACAGTCTTCCATTTTTATTTTCTCAGCCTAAATCCTTTCCAGACTACTTAGTATTAGAGATATGTTCTTTCCTGAGTTGATTATCTCCTAAACAATGCATTCTTCCTATCTGGGCAACCCCCCCCCCCAAAGTAATCATTGACTGAAGGTATTACAGTACATGAGGTGAGTACAATAAGTAAACAAGGGTGGAAACCATATTTTATGTAGAAGGCCATATTCTGGACATAAAACAGAGGCATAACAAAGATCTCAGTGGGCTATAGTATGGGATGGGATGAAGGAAGCAAAGATATTCATCTCACATTTGCAGACTGGAGTATTTTGGTATGAATACATGAGGGGAGAGAGATGAATGAGAAAAATATGGCTTTCCAGATCTGACATGGCCCACCAGCTTATGTCATTTGAGTTGTGCAATGTCCTGCAATCTTTCAGAAGCTGATCAGTAAAGTGTTTCAAAATTGGTTGGACCAAGGCATTTATCTTAATGATATCCTCATCTACTCCTAAATTTATAAGCTAGAGCTTAGTACAGGCTCTTTGATTAACCCAGACCTGCACAACTTGGCATTTGGTAGGAGCCAAAATTAAAATAGGCTAAACTTCTTCAGGCTGCAGAGAGGTTAAACTAGACAAAGACTGACAATGGTTGGTTGCCGTGGGTCACGTGATAAACAGGAGAGAGTATGCAGTGGCAGCCCACTGCAGGCCCACTGCAGGATTTTTTGCAGGCTACCCAAAATCTTTTGGTGGGCCACAAGTGGGCCTGTGGGCCATATGTTGTGCAGGCCTAGACTAACCTCTTCTTAGTAGAGGTGTGATATGCCATGGAAAGAGGAAATTTTATCTGGAGGGCTATGAATTGTTCAGCCTATAAATGTGAGGTAAAATGAGGACTCTTATGAAAGGCAATATGAGAAGGAAGACCAGAGAAAAAGAAAATTTACCTCAGGAACAAGAAGAAAGCTTTGATCATGGTGAGATCATCATAGCAGAAGAAGCCATCTTGGTAAAAACAATTATCTCAGTCACAGTAGAAGTCCTGAATCCACAACCTATTATCACCAAGGCAGCATTGTATCCCCTGGATGGGAGCAGGTCCACAATGAAAAATTGTGTCTGAGGTCCAGATTGGGTTAACCTGGGTTAACACAAATCTGCTGACTATTCCACTGAGTCGGATTGGGCATACATATCATGTGACTAGATATACCACTTAATATTACATTACAGTCATAATCACCAAGTCACACACAGATGCACAAGTGTAAGGCTTGTCATGGGGTGGGAGCATATGATCTTGGGTTGAGACAAAGTGCTACCCAGCAAGCTTGACCAGAGAAGACGTATAGGCTTCTGTGGAGGTGCAGATATGGGTTGGAATAGATGGCTACTGAGGTCTGTTCTAACACTGAGATTCTGAAATTCTCAGATTTTGTGATTTTGATCCCTCAAGACAATAATGGATACATTCTTTTAAGTGATGGATTATTTCTGTGGATCTGGACATATCAAAATTGGGAGTAAGAGCCAGTTTTTAGGTCACTAACTGCACCTTCCACCTTTGATACCCACTGGAAAGCCTTGGGTGTTTCAGTAGGTGAATTGAGAAGTGGAAAACCTCACCAACAGCAGTATCCCATGAAATAGGAGAAGCAGCTCCTGGTCCTTCATGGGAATCAGAATACCTTACTGAAATACCATTTCTATCTTGGATGTATCGATATGGGATTCCACATGTGTTATGTGCCCTTTGAGGTTAATCTTCTTTTTCTCAAAATGGTATTTCTCCAGTTTTGTGACTAACTGATGCTTATGTAAGTTTTAGAAGACAGTCCAAACCAACTCATCTTGCTGGTTATAAATTTAGGAGTAGATGAGGATATCATTAAGATAAATGCCTTGGTCCAACCAATTTTGAAACACTTTACTGATCAGCTTCTGAAAGATTGCAGGACATTGCACAACTCAAATGACATAAGCTGGTGGGCCATGTCAGATCTGGAAAGCCATATTTTTCTCATTCATCTCTCTCCCCCCATGTATTCATACCAAAATACTCCAGTCTGCAAATGTGAGATGAATATCTTTGCTCCTGTCAAATGGTCTGTCAGGTTGGTTATCTGAGGAAAAAAAGTACCAATCTTAGATAGTGGTGGTATTCATGGCCTTATAGTAGAGTAGTAATTCACCTATAGCAGCATTGATGAAGGTATAAGGCTGAATGAACTCATTTTTTGAGACAACTAGGTGCAGTGGGTAGAGTGCTGGACCAAAGCCAGGAATATGAGTTCAAATCTCACCTCAAATACTTACTAGCTGTATAAACCTGGGCAAGTCACTTAACCTCTGTTTGCCTCAGTTTTCTCATTTGTAAAATGGAAATGACTATGGTATATATCTGTAGGGTTGTTTTGAGGATAAAATAACATTTATGAAATACTTTGCAAACCTTAAAGTGGTATATAAATGTTCTTTTTTTTTATAAATTTATTTATTTTTAGTTTTCAACATTCACTTCCACAAGTTTCTGAGTTCCAAATTTTCACCCCATCTCCCCTCTCCCCCCACCCCAAGATGGCATGCATTCTGAATATCCCTTCCCCTAGTCTGTCCTCTCTTCTATCTCTCTCCCCTTCTCTCATTCCCTTCCCCTTCTATTTTCCTGCAGGGCAGGATAGACCTCTGTACCCCATTTCCTGTATTTCTTAATAAATGTTAGTTCTTATAATCTTTCCCAAGAACTTCCACACAGGTATAGTCTTTCACCTGGTCAGTAAGTTGATCTGACATCTGGGAATGGGATTCTTGGAACTAGACTGGTCACACAATCCAATGTGCTATATAGAGAATCACTTGCTTTAGAGAGGCAGAGGCAGAGGCAGAGGGGCAGAGGGAAGGGGCACTCCTAGATTATCATCATAGTCCCATGCATCACTGTTTTCCAAGGGACGAGAATTGTAGCACGAATTGCCTGGGTCGACATGTGAGGGGAAGGACACAGTGTCAGGGTGAGGAAGATCTGTGTTGGAGACGTGTCAGATGATTTCTCGGCTACTTTCGACTCTGAGTTTTCACACACACAGACTCAGGATTCAAGTGTTTCCGAAGAGCTCTTCCCCTCACTCCTCTCCTTCCTTCATCCCATCCCTATCGCACCCCAACCCTTTCGTTTTTATTTTCTCCCCCTCAGGAAAGAAAATTTTTCTTCCTCTTGTGGGGGGGGGGGCAAGAGACAGCACACGCACACAGTGGGCGCTATGGGGGGAATGTCATTGGGTGTCCTGTCATACAGCTACCAACAGGAAAAATAAAAAAAATTTAAAAAAAAGTGAGAATCACTTGCTTTGCATTAATCGTGCTAAATACATGGCTTTGGTCATGCTACTAATAAGGAAATTCTGAATTAAGTACTTGGTTAGGGGTTAGGGTTAGATATAGCCTACAGCTATTCTGGAAACTGTATATTGTATATTCTAGATTGATATTTTACATTTTTATTTCCCTTTCAATATACCATAGTCAAGCAATGGCACTTCATTTTTTAACCTGCTTATGACCTCTGACCTCTTCCAAATTTCTCTCAAACAAATTTAAAATAATGCCTCTAAATGAATTCTGAAGCGGCAGAACCAATAAAAATGGGGTAAAACAAATTTTCAGCTAAAGACAACTTAGCAGGAAAGGTCTGTATTACTAGGGTGAGAGTTGAGTGCAGTCAAGTGCAGGCCATGCCCTGGCAAGCCAGCAGCAGGCCTCAGGGGTGACTGAATTGACAGTGGTGGCATCTGGAGCTCTCAGTCCACAGATGGTAAGGGGGCTGGACAACTGATCTGAAGGAGATTACAAGGGACACTTTGATAGCACTGGTTGCAGGGCTTTGTTGCATTGCTCATAAGTGGTTCCTAGTCCTAGGGTGAGGAGGAGTGGGAATCCTGGTCACAGTCCCAGGGAAGAAAAAAGTGCTTGTGTTCACTCAC